AGAGAGAGAGAGAGAGAGAGAGAGAGAGAGAGAGAGAGCGAGAGAGAGAGAGAGCGAAAGAGAGAGAGAGAGAGAGAGAGAGAGAGAGGTGTTCATGTTACATGATCTGAAGAAATTAAAAATGCTTGTCTGTTCAAAACACACCATGCAGTTTCTAATGTTTTCAGAACAGTTGTTAATGCATTGCTATGCAGCTGCTAATTTGCTTAGAGTTAAACAGACAGTAGATATAAATAAAGAACACACAAGGACTCTAGATATTGCTTGGGTCTCTACCATAGACTGTATAAAAACATGGACGTAGTGTCCGTGACGTCACCCGTAGGTTCCTGAAGAGGTTTTTGAAGCTCAAAGTGGGCGGAGCCTTAATATAATTTAAACGGATGAGTTATAAAAAAATTCACCCCCCTCAGTTGTCATGAAGGGCAAAATTAGCTATATAGACCAAAATAATTTTTTGAACCAGGCTGTAAACATGTTTTTTTCTGCTGTAAAGTTGGGCATTTTAACATGGGGAGTCTATGGGATTGACTCCCTTTTGCAGCCAGCCTCTAGCGGCCAGTTGATGAATTACAGTTTAAGTCACTTCCTTGTTGGCTTCACGAGAGAGAGCGGGAGGTTGCCGCTTGGTCTCTACTGTATTCTGTAATTTTCATCCGGCAGACAAATCCATTTCCATTCTATTATTCATTTAATTCGAATCAATTCCATTTTACTAGAACACGCTACACATGTTTGCATAGTGTTTGAATGCCATGCAAGCTTCTGTGGCTATTTTCATAATGATAACCATATATAGCCGGCAGCCATATCACCCTGTAGCCCAAGACTGGTTGCCCACTGAAGCTAATATGTGACCCTGGACCACAAAACCAGTCATAAGGGTCAATTTTTCGAATTTGAGATTTATACATCATCTGGAAGCTGAATAAATAAGAATAATAAATATTTGGCCGAGATACAACTATTTGAAAATCTGGAATCTGAGGGTGCAAAAAAAAATCAAAATATTGAGAAAATCGTCTTTAAATTTGTCCAAATGAAGTTCTTAGCAATGCATATTACTAATAAAAAATTAAGTTTTGATATATTTACAGTAGGAAATTTACAAAATATCTTCATGGAACATGATCTTTACTTAATATCCTAATGATTTTTGGCATAAAAGAAAAATTGATAATTTTGACCCATGCAATGTTATTTTGTCTATTGCTACAAATATACCCCAGCGACTTAAGACTGCTTTTGTGCTCCAGGCTCACATATTAAAGTCTCATCTTTGCATTATAAAACACAGGTGCCCACCAGTGCAGAGAAAGCCCAGACGTTCTTATTGAACAGGAACTCCAGGTTGTTGCGGCGCAAGTAAGCCAGACTGCCGATGAACGCCAGCAGCAATCCCAGCATCAGCGGCCCGGCGTAGTTCGGAGGCCTGATCACCCGAATCTGAACGACACGCGACAGCATGTTAAAGCCTGATGTGAGCGTTCAGCTCAGATTCTGGATGTGTCTGCACTAGTCTCACATGCACGTCTGTTCGGTCGGCCACCCATCGAGCCAGCTGTTCGGCCGCAAAGCCTCGGACCTGCAGCTCGTACGTGTCGGCTCGCTTCGGTTTGCCTTTGGCCGGGAAGTTGATGAACGTCGGAGCCGAGTTCATGTTGAGCTGTAGAGGACATACATGATGAATGCTGGAAATGATGAAGATGTTTCATGCTTCTTAATATCAACATCAATCACAATGCAATGCAATTTATTGCAATGCCTCTGAAACAACTTACCTTTTAACACTGACCTCACCCAGTCCTTGTGAGCGATAGGTTAATGTTAACCCACAGGCATCACATTCAGATGCATACATGCAATACATTTCTAATAGATAAGGTCAAGTCCTGCCCCAGATTATGTTGTTTCACTTCAAAACATATCACGTTATGGAAGCAAACGCTGCTTTTCATGTTGTTTTATGCTCTGTTCTCTTTAAAACAGCAATATATGAGGTGGAGTGCACATGTAAAACATATTGAGGGTAGTTACCATCTGGAAAACATCTGAGCCTTCATCAAAATCCACCGTTGCAAAGAAAATCCTGTTAGTAAATGCATTCGAATAACGCCAAGAGTTCGCAAGGATCTGGTACTCTTCATCCGCCTGTCTGAAAACAAACAAAAGTGTCAAAAAAATATCAAGTTTTATACAACACAAATAATTGAGTGTTTCAATGTCAAGCATGTCATTTCTGTGTAGCAGCAACAAACGGAAATGCAAAAATAACAACTTTTGGCTATTTGGTTATTCAATTTGGTTTCCTGAACACTCTCCTCATCTCCTCACCGGTGGGAAAAACAGTTTTCATTTTTATTTTTAGTTCCACGTTTTAGTAACTCTGTTTTGTAAATGATTATTATTATTTTAAATATTTCTTTTTAGTTTTGAATAGCTTTAAATATTTATATTTACTTCAACTTCAATTCGTGGCCGGGGCTAAATGTTTTATTGTTGCTTTTTCAAGTTTAATTTTATTTCAGATGTTTAATAGCTTTACTAACAATAAGGACACGGCTAGACAGCAGCCTAAGTGCTGATATGGTGCATGTGTTCTCGGGTCTCTCACTTGCAGACTGCACACTGTCTCTGCGGCTGCAGCGCTGTGAACATGATAACGACCGAGTAGTTTCGTGGAGGGGCCCGGATCAGCCTCCTGAACTTCTCTCCGTTCATCCGGATCACTGCACGCTTACTGGCCCACTCCATCATCTGACTGACCTTCTCTGACAGCAGGGTCTGAAAACACACAGATCTCCCATTCATTCAGATCATGCTTTTAGCAATATGCAATCAGCATATTTATCCCCGCTTCAGTCTTTATGCAGTAAGCTCACGTTATTGTCCTATATTACATGCATACTAGCATGAACACAAAGCAGTAATAACACATTAAGTCAGCTGTACAGCAGGAAGCTTAGCTTAGTTTGCATACAGGGCCAAGTGTGTCACCTCATAACACAACAGAGTAAAATCGAGATCAGTATTTCATTTCAAGTGATTTGTAGATGGACCACAGTGTTCTAAAAATGCAAAAACATGAATGTGTCGTTTAATCCCTTGTGGTTGTGAGACCGAGCGAGTCTATGAGGGCCATCACATCATTTGAGTAACCAATGAGCACAGTGTTTATGAGGGATAAAAACCATTTAATAAAAACCCAATTCAAATCCACTGACCTCCTTCTTTTTCTGTCCATCTGACGGCGTGCCCTGTAAACTAACAGCGAGGAAAACAACTATCAAAAGTTTATAAAACATTTCTGAAGCTGCCACTGCGCCCACGACGGTCCTGCAGGAACTCCTGTCCGCTTCCTATTGGTGGAGCTCAGCGATGCGGAAGTGTCCGGGGAGCAATTCCACAATAAAAGTCTCAAGCGACAAGACAAAAGCTCGAAAATACGTTAGTATTTTCAAAATAAAAGCCTCAGGGTGCCACTAACGGTTTTTAAAAAAAATCACAAGCCGATCTTTATTCATGATTGCTGAGAAAAGTACGTGCATTCCCGAATTACACAACATAGAAACAAACAAATAAGTATATTAAGCAAATAAAGAAATTATGAACATGTCTGTGGAAATAAAAGAAATGGGAGAAAAACAAGTATACGGAATACGGGAAAAAATAGATGTTTAAAGTGATAAAAGCCTTTTGTGTCCTATATTTATTTCAGTTTTTCTTTCTCTGCATTTACTGCATTTTGTACTTGCTGTTGCTAGCAAAGTGTGAAACTACGGTGACGCATTGCTGCCACACACATATTATTTTTTCCACTCAATTATGTCGTAATAACGAGATGTTATGTCGTTTTAACGACATCTTTTCTCGTTAAAACGACATCTTTTCTCATTAAAACGACATCTTTTCTCATTAAAACGACATCTTTTCTCATTAAAACGACATCTTTTCTCATTAAAACGACATCTTTTCTCATTAAAACGACATCTTTTCTCATTAAAACGACATCTTTTCTCATTAAAACGACATCTTTTCTCATTAAAACGACATCTTTTCTCATTAAAACGACATCTTTTCTCATTAAAACGACATCTTTTCTCATTAAAACGACATCTTTTCTCATTAAAACGACATCTTTTCTCATTAAAACGACATCTTTTCTCATTAAAACGACATCTTTTCTCATTAAAACGACATCTTTTCTCATTAAAACGACATCTTTTCTCATTAAAACGACATCTTTTCTCATTAAAACGACATCTTTTCTCATTAAAACGACATATTTTTTCTCGTAATAACGACATATTATGTCATAAAAACGACATGTTTTCCCGTTATTATAGATATATATGGTACATTATGTGAGCGAGCTAAGCGACTGTCCGCGCTGCTGCTGCTATTATAAACGACATAACATCTCGTTATTACGACATAATTGAGTGGAAAAAATAATATGTGTGTGGCAGCAATGCGTCACCGTATGAAACATAGCTTGTCTTTTATCTATTTACTCCTAGGTTCCCAGAAGGATACACCAACATGTTTAATGTTTTATTAAATATGATGAATGATTTACATACAGTTAAAGCTTGCGGACACAACTGCCTGTATAATCAAAGGACGCATGAAAACAGAGAAAGCAGAATCACACGCGCGCTTAGCGATGTCTTTATCGTGTCATTTCTCAGAAGTAGTATTTACAAAATTACTTTTTTTTTGGCTTCAATAATTTAACAATTAAATGAAATGGAGCTATTAAATGACTTAAAAATGAAATTGACTCTATCAAACTGACACACTGACGCATCTGCGCAAATAAGAGCTTACATATTACAGGTAAACACATATCAGGAAGATGTGAATTTTGTAACAGTATTGAATCTGTTGAACATGTGGTGCTTGAATGTCGAAAAGTATAATTGTGAAAAGATAAAGTTGAAAGAAAGCTTTGGAAATTGGGGGTTCAAGGGAATTCACTTTAGGAAATACTAGGAAAAACATCAAATTACATTAGTTCACATTTATTTAGCTTCCTAAAGGAAGCTGGTGTAGCAAATATGATATAGGTTACAGCATTGGAATTTATTATTATTATAAAAGGGGAAGAAGGAGAAGGAAAGTCTCCCTTCAGTATGGATATAATTGATCTCTGTCTAGCTCCGGTCCACACTCCAGTACAGTAGGTGGCGGTAATGCACCATTGAAGTTGGAGGCCAACCGCCGTTAAACATCAAAGAAGAAGAAGACGACGACGCATCTGCGCGCTAAACACCCGCTGCTGTGAGCGAGTGAGTGAGTGAGGAGGAAGATGGCGGCGCTGATCCTCCCGTCTGACTGGATAAAAAACTGGGACAAATCCGGCAAAAATGAGTTGTGAGTATGAGTTTAGCAGTCCGATGGGAAGTGGGGATGAAAATAAAGTGATATGCATTTTATTTGGGCGGTATCGTCGCGGGTGATTGTCGAAATCATCTTCTCCTCATCGTGAATGTCCACAGCTAGTGCGCGTTCAAGACTCATGACTTAAAGTTCAACCAAATAACCAATAAACCTAGGTCTAAGTATACCACTAACCAAATAAAGGATATACAGTCTTTCGCTTCTGTGCGTGGGTATGTAAGGCACTTTATCGGGCACTTGGGTAATTTCCATTAATGTAGCGTCAATGTGCTAACAGTTAGCTGGGTTAGCATTAGCATGTGCATTCTTATCAGTGTGTGTTACAAAGAATGTAATGTGTGTTACATGCTAGTAAACATGATCTCATACACCCTGAGCAGACCTGAAGTCCATATTATGGGATGTTAGGAGGGTGTGTGTAGTGTAAGCTGATGATAGCTGTGTTAATGAGTTCAAGCTCACTTTTATAAGCGCCCCGGTTGATATTGTTGTGAGATTTTGGTTGTGTCACGAAGCATAGTGATCTGACCTATCTAGGCGGCATTTATGAGCAGCACAGTCAAAAAAACCTACTGAGCGGTCTAACTGTTGACACCTAGCTAGCTGCCTACTTGGGTTGCGTTGTAGTGATCATAGTGTCGAGACGCTTTGTGAGCATGGTGCACTTGTGATGTAGTGAGATGCCAATGCATCCTAAACCTAATGATTTTCTTGTCTAGACAGCAATGTTGGGCGTCTTGTTTAAAAACTATGTTCAGCATTCTTAAAATCCAGTGAGGGGTTTGCTTACTTGTCAATAACCTGTAGATGAAGGAGTGTGTTAAAGTCATTCAGCTTCATGTTTGTCATACAGCAGGGATTGTGGTGCTGGATAATAGACTGCAGTTGTGATATAAGCAAGCTTTAAATGTCTAGTAAGCCGTAAATGGGGGCAATATACCATAACATAACATAAAGTTGATCTCTTATGCCCTAAAATTATTGTACCTCATTCTCTTTTAAATTCAGTGCAGATGACATGATCTTTTTTGTTTGTTGCTTATGTGTTTATTAATAACTGAAATTCTCTTTCTAGCTATTCACTTATTTGTCTTTTCTGTTTCTAGTTTACAGTTTTTCCAGGACCTTGCGAGGAAACCCAGCAGTCGTGAGTTTGTTAAGGGTGAGTTCAGTTCCTAATTCTTAGTCTCAGGACTTGTGACGGTGGCAATTTGTTTACCGCCGCAGTGGTTATATATCATTGAAGTGAAGTGATATGTGGCCAAGTATGGTGACCCATACTCAGCATTTAACCCATCCTAAGTGCACACACACAGCAGTGAACACACACCCGGAGCAGCGGGCAGCCATTTTTTGCTGCGGCGCCCGGGGAGCAGTTGGGGGTTCGGTGCCTTGCTCAAGGGCACCTCAGTCGTGGTATTGAAGGTGGAAGAGAGCACTGTACATTCACTCCCCCCACCTACAATCCCTGCCGGACCTGAGACTCGAACCCACAACCTTTGGGTTACGAGTCCGACTCTCTAACCATTAGGCCACGACTTCCCCTAACCTTCCCCCTTCCTTGTTTCCTTGCAAATAATTCACATTGCACAAATTATGCTTCAAAGTATCAGTTCACTTCCAGAATAAAGATTTCCTGATAATTTACTCACCCCCGTGTCATCCCAGATGTTCATGTCTTTCTGTCGTCAGTCGCAAAGAAATGAAAGTTTTTGAGGAAAACATTCCAGGATTTTTCTCCATATAATAGACTTCAATGGGGACCAACGGGCTGAAGGTCAAAATAAAGAGGGTGTTATCACATGCCCTTACATTAGGTCATATAAGATCAAAAGACTCAAAAATATTTGTTGACAATTTATTATTGTCAACTAATCATTTCAGCTCTAATAAATAGCTTAGATTGTATTCTGTAAGATGGTTTTAATAATGCAGTGAAGTACCTGTTATGCGTCTGCTAGAGATGTTTCAGTTCACTGTGTTCAGTGTCTGACGGCTGCTTGTAACAACATTTTAACATCTTTACTTTGACACTTTCATCCCAATTCACACGTTTGGGGAGGCAGTTCCTTGTCATTGCTTAGATGAGAGTCTAAACTACATCAGCAAGTGTCTGGATGCTCATGAATATTTGCCTTATTTGATCCTTATTTGAGCTGAAATTGGTGTTTTTTTTAGGCTCACACATTGCTTTTGTGGTAAGATCCTCCAACATGTTCTCTCTGGCAAAACCCTTTATCCCTGAAGCATGTTTTATTAGATTGTGCTGGTTTTAACCCTGTGAGAACTTTTCTATTCAGTTAACTCTTTTGAAGAGATTTTTAACAGAGTTAAGCCAAATACAGTTTTAGAGTTTTTAGCGAAAATAAATTGTAAAAAGCTGATTTAGCCATACATTTCTCTTGCATTGAAAATAGCCACAGAAGCTGGCATGGCGTTAAATGCAAACACTCAAACAAGTTGCATTTGTGGATTATGCACAGTATGTATAGTATAACAAAGTTGTCACCTCGTGACTGATGACGTGTCTTGAGCTATAATAACTAGTGATCGACCGATACTGATTTTTATAACCGATACCAATTATTTGCATGTTTATGTGCCCGATAACCGATATGTCATTTAGTGCAGCGGTTCTCAATTCCAGTCCTCGCGTACCCCCGCTCTGCACATTTTGTATGTTTCTCTTATTGCTTCAGACGTTTGTTATATTTGGCTGTAAGTGCCCTGCGAAGTGGACATTACCGGATATTCTATGCAGAACTGATATTTATTTACTGTTATAAAGTAAATAAATGACTAAGTGAATTAAGAACATACTTCACTTTGGTTTTTCCTCTTTTCAGTCATCTTTTTTTTTTTTTTTAAAGTGTTGAAAATGAGCAGTCATTCATGTTAAAATTAATCTTCATACTACAACAATAGGAAGCAATGGACACTGTGTAGGGACCATGTCAATCGGAACACAGTTCATGCACGGAGC